GCAGCGACAGCTTCACAAGACCTGAGTGAGCAAATAGCGGCTTCACAACTTGCTCAGCACAACTTCCCACTTCCACGAGAGCTTCGAGATCAAATCTACGAGCATTTGCTCCTTGCCAAGCACGTGCGAGCGCAGCCGTGGCACAGCAAGCCTGACGATCTGAAGGGTTTGGTAAGTGAGACGAAGTGCGGTTGCTGCGAGCCTAATATAGCGACTAATTCAGTATTGTCGGCAATCATCACTGCCCACATCAAGCTCATTGTCTGAAATGGGTTGCGAGAGTTTTGGCGAACTTGCTGACCTCATTAGGCGTCTGTCACGAACGAAATACGTTTCAGCGCGGCATCTACCTACAAATTCCATCCCGCCATCACCGCGGTCAACAAGCAGATATCCTCGGAGGCTAAAAAAGTGCTTTTGAAGAACCACTTCGTCATTGTGTCTTATAACAGCTCAGGGCTTTTGGGAACAAGCGCCATGTTGCTCTGTTCGAACTCCACAGTCTCCGCGTACACCTGGCAAGCCTCACTCGTGGCACCACATTCGATACCAAACCCAAGCTGGAGTCGTTTCTCATGCTCGCCGACGACCTTCCCAAGCTCGTGGATTTTGTGCACTTGCGGACTTGCCCCTCGAGACATTGTACTTTCAAAACGATGACCGTCCAGAAGATGAGATCTTGGCGGCCAAATCGATATTCAACCCTCACCTGTTGACGAAGCTGCGCTTGTATGACAGCGCTGCAAAGTCGCAAAATCCAACCACCCAGCGCATACTATTGGCGCCCTTTGAGAAGCTCATAGTGAGCCAGCAGGAAGTGATAGTGAGCGGCTACGCCGAGCCTCTCACTGCATATGTCACCAAGCTGAAAGAGACGATGACCCAGCCAGGGGCCTGTTTTTCAGCCGTGTGTTGGCGGGTGCTAGGTATCTTCCAGGAGCTCCAGCGAGGCTTCGAAGAATTAATTGCTGCTGGAGAATTCAAGACGGCGCTTGAAAAGCTGGTCACCATACAAGGACCGATCTTCAGCCCGCTCCTCAAGCTCAAGCACCTAGTGCCAGATTCCACCTCTGATGTACCGGCCAGGCTATTGATTCACGGAAGTCTGAACGTCACCATTACGGCCGTCTATCTGCACCTACGTTTAGGTCAGGCGAAAATAGCACAGATGACCGAATTTCTCGAGTTCCTGATGGCCGTAACTCAGCGTAACCATGGTTGCTCTGCTCCAGGTCATGCTCCACTACCAACCCTAAGCGCGGTTCTGTGGATCCACCATGTGTTAGCTCCCATCGAGACCGTCTCGGGGGGTGACAGTTTGGCAAGGTTGATTGCAATTTCTGAGGAGCTTGGCGACAGTCACCCGTTCATTGCCGAATGTGTGGCTCATGATATGCAGCTCGCCAGGGCCCTCGAGCTCAAGGTACGTGCCTCTGTTCTCAACCATCACGTTCACCGTGACCGACTGTGATCTAGGGAAGCCGCCTCAAGAAGAGCCTTGGACCACGGAGCTCCCCAAGCAGATGAGCGTGTGTCAGCTCCCAGCGATGATTGTCAAGACAGCAGTACCCGACGACTTTCCAGAAAGACCCACATTCGAAGGCCTTCTGGATACGGCGCATTTGGCGAAGGTGAAGAAGACCATTGTGCAAGAGACGGGCGCATAAGATCAACAGTCTTCGGCTGGGCCAACGATGCACACTCTATGAAATACGCAGACTGTGGCTGAAATAGGCTTAACAAGCTTGGGTCGGCTTTTCTGCCACCTCCAGTGACGTCAGGGCTTGGAATTGACTTCTCGAGCTTGCGCGGACCGTTCCATAGGTCCAGAAGTTGCTCACCGCTCTTGCGTCCGATCCAAGCTGCCCGCTCAACGAGTGAAGCCGCAATGGGTTCCTTAGCATCACCACTCGCCACCGTCGGAATTCTGTCGATTGGTGACATGGGCTTGGGCATTGCCAAATTGCTCAAAGCCCACAACTACCGCGTTACCACAAACGCAGCCGATAGAAGGTTTATTTCACAATCAAAAGACATGACTAGCTCGGGAGCTAATCAACCCCCCAGCCAAGCAACACAAGACCGAGCCCGCAAGAACGGAATCATCTTGCTTCCCAACGACATCGAATTAGCACGTGCAGCCGACTACATCCTATCGATCGTGCCTCCTCGTGATGCCTTGGCGACAGCCCAGCGAATCGCCGACGTTGCCTCACACGTGCCCTTGAAGGAGCGACGGCCCCTGTACTACCTGGATCTCAACGCCATCTCGCCCCGGAGTGCAAGAGAAATTGGCGACCTCTTTGCTCCCAACGCCGCGTCCCTCCGTTACGTCGACGGAGGCATCATTGGTGGACCACCAAAGTCGAAAGAAGATGGAACCTGGAGTCGCCCAAGCGTCCCCGTGTCCGGCCCGCATCGTCTAGAGCAAGCGCCAGTTTCCGGCCAACATCTCGCCCAGACTCTGAACATCAGACACATCAACGAGACCATCGGCAGCGCCAAAGGTCTCAAGATGTGCTTCGCGTCGCTCTCCAAGGGCTTCACGGCTCTGGCCATTCAGTCTCTGACCACCGCGCATAGTCTCGGTGTTGGCGAAGACCTCATGTGCGAGCTCGAAGCACGGAATCCGGGCGCCAGGAAGCAAGTCGAGAGTGTCACGAATATGGCTCCCAAAGCCTATCGATGGGTTCGAGAGATGGAGGAGATTGCGGAGACTTTTGAGGCGGATGGAGGGTTTGAAGGCGAGGAGTCGGTCTTTAGGCCGATTGCGAGGGTGTATGATCTTGTGGCCAACGGGACTGAGCTTGGGCTGGAGAGGACTGAAGAGCGGAAGAGGGGCAAGACGACCGAGGATGTCGCGCTGCTGATGAGGAAGGGTATTGCGAAGAGGAAGGAGAAGGTAGAGTAGAGCGGTGCTCGCCTTGACAATCGTCTTCTTGACGTTCTCGATCTGCGAAGATCTCTGTGGAAGATCCATGTATTTCTCACTGCACTGGTTCAAGGTCTCAAAGACTGTGCCATCTACCCATGTGCGCTCTGTTCTGTCTGCCCGTCTTGCAGCCAACCCTCGGCCCCAAGGATACCTCCATCATCCGCCTTGGGATCCAAAGACCACTTGCGTATCGGTCCAATGCTGAGATCCGACGTGTAGCCGGCATCGAACATTTCCAGTCCGGCCCAAGCTATCATGAGAGCGTTATCGGTGCAAAGCTCAACCGGGGGAAAGCTGAGCTTGGTATGCTTGTACCCGCGAGCATCCAGGACGCTCCGGAGTAAATGGCGTAAGAAGCGATTGGAGGCCACGCCGCCAGATACCACGACGGTGTCGCCAACCCAATCCGGTCTGCTCTCGAGGAATAGCATGATCCTTGAAGCCAGATGCTCGAAAGCTACCCGTTGGACTTCACGTGCCATTGTTTGCCGTTCTTGCACGCTTACGAAACTCCGAGGTGCTGTTGTGGGATTGCCATGCGGGCCAACTTCGTACTTGATGATGCGTTCCACGAAGCTGAGCAGGCCAGCAAAAGAGAACATCATGCGTCGAGAACTTTTCTTCCTGCCATTGCTTTCAGACAGCGGCGGTCCCAGAGACCATCCCCACTGAGTCGGCCGGTGTTCGAGCTCATCCTGTCGTCTCGCTGGCGGTTTGTAGTCATAATCCGTGGAAGGCTCGCATCTCTCGACCGACACAGGTGTCGCGCTGAGGTCTGCTTGAGAAGCCACATTCTGTGTTTCAGCCTCTACTAATTCAGCCTGTGTAGTTGCCAAGAAGTTCGTGTGGAATGCGAACTGTTCGAGCGCTCGCCCAAACGGTGCTTTGAGCACGGACGCTGGCAAGATGACCCTGGCAGCTTTGTCCAAGCAGTCGCCAATAGCTATGTCTTGCGTTTCGGCGGCTATAGCATGATCTGTGAGCCCTCTGGAGTCGATGAGCAAAGTGTGCCCCCCAGACACTAATACGCTCATAAACGGAAACTCTGGATGCGGGCCGCCACCTTGCCCTCCACCACTGGATCTTGGAGAACACTGAAGGGCATGGACGAGTCTGGGAGTCAAGGCGTGTGCCTGCATGTGGTGCACTCCCATCAATGGTGCGTTCCATGCCACCGCCAAACCCTTAGCGGTGTCAAGGCCGACGGCCAGGTTGCTGCGCATGCCTGTGCCCTATCAGTATCAATCAAGCTGACTCTAGCAATTTCGCCGCTCTCTTACCAGGCCCTCTTGTAACGGCAACAAGATCAGGTGTCCGTTTCGGGGCATCCTCGTACTCGTTAGGAAGATCAGCCATTCCCTCACGGTTTGACCGGCGAGTGTCTTTGACGAACCCATCAAGCGGCTGGTCATGATGATGAAGCTGCTGGAGAGCGCGCTGGAGCAGTCCTGCCAGGCTGCGTCGGTGAGAATCCAGAGCTACCAGAGGATGTATGCCGTTGTAGGCATCGTTATTCGCGGTTATCTTCTCGTGGAAGATGACCCTGTGAGCAAGGCTGAGGTCGTGGTGATCACCAGCCTTTTCCGTAGAGCTCCTATTGGTTTGATTCATGTACTCTTGACGCTCCAAAATCGCGACCGAGGTGTCATCGCAGGACGTCTCGATGGCCAGCACTATGAGACCTGTCTGCCGCTTTGCCCGTAGGGAGTGCGATGTGATATGTCTCTGCCATGTCAGCAAGCTGTAAATCCGTCGGACGCTGCCACGATGGGTGCATCTCAGCAACAATGGCCTCAAAGCCATCTACTGATGCGATGAATGTTGAGCTCTGGATACTGCTGATCTGCCGCATCCGGCGTAATAAGTGGGTCCGGACGAGACTAGCACTGAACTTCCACTGCCGCGGCGATCGGGCGCTCCTCGGGTCCTTAGAGTCAAAGCTTGAAATAACAAAATTTTCCGTGACTATGCATCTAAGCACGTGACTTGTCACCGTGCCTCCCAACACCATCACTCGGTTTGCCAAATCGAGTATCCCCGGGCGACATCCCCGTCCCCGCCTGCGTCCTCGATGGTCTAGTGGCTATGATTTCCGCTTGTCATGCTATGGCATTGCAATGCGCGGGAGACCAGTGCGTACTCGACCATTATACTCTTCCCATATCAAATGATCGCTGACATTAAAACTCAGGGGTTCGATTCCCTGTCGAGGAGCATTCTCTTTCTTTTTGGCTCTTCAGGATGGATGGCGTGGTTGGCTCAGCACTGCGTTTTTGTTTTTGGGCAGGGGAAGGGACCGCAAGACTTAGACCTGCTAGTTTCTGCGATGGGCTATCCGAGATTACTACGTCGTTGCGCTGTCTGCATTCCATGCTGTCTCAAAATCTCTACCTGTTGCTCAATCCCGTCTCAAGTCGCGCTCGAATTCCCACTAGGCGTCACAAACCCACTGCTCGGCGCGGAGTTGAGCGCCAGAGGCGCAAACGTGCCGCCTACCACTGGTCGGTCGATGAAGGTGATGCCTGAAGGGTAGCTGTAGAAGCATCAGCAACGGCTTAGACGAGCATCTAGAAGTATGACGACTTACTCCGCAGTAATCGTATCGTAAAGATCCGTAAAAGCATAGTTCGTCGGCGTTTGGTCCAACCACCTGGCAATGACTGTAGTGAACTGCTGTTTCGTGCTGTTCGATGCTATGGAGGCGCAGAAGATTTCCCAGTCCACTGTCATCACGTCAGCATCTCCCATTAGTTTCAAAAGAAGCAGGAGGAGATCTCACCTTTAGTATAAGTATGTCTCGTATCCAGCGGGACTCCATACGCGTTAAACACCGTCGGGTAGAATTTACTCTGCATATCATATACACTCTGCGGCACCAAATCCAGCCCCAACTCCGCGTCCCCGAAGAGATTATACAGCAGCACGTACGAGGACGTATTGCCGTAGTTTAGCTCTGCGTGAGGAGTTGTGGCATTGTAGTCTATGCCGTAAGTCTGCCAGAGACGGATGTACTCGTGTGCGATTTTGGTGTAATTGGCACCGTCTTCCGCGTGGCCGGTGCGGTTGGCGATTTGCGCCATGGCTTCGATGCCGATGATGCCTTTGAGCGCGAGGTTCGTTTGGTTGGCGAGGGCGCCTGCGAAGTCGTCGGTTGAGATTTGGTTGGCGGGGATTAGAGCTTCGGAGATTAGGTATTCGTTCCATTGTTTTAGGATGTCGTAGTGCGTAGCCAGGTATGCGTCGTCGTTTGCGCGTTGCGCGTATGCGAGAGTCATTATAATCATGTCGCCGCATTCTTCGAGAGGCTGTTGCTCGTCGTTGCCGTCGTTATGGCCTGTGGCGTTGGGGAAGTTAGTGCCGAGGTCGTGAATCGAGTACATGTAGGGCCAGTAGCCGGCTTCCTGGTTGATGAAGAGGGGATTGAGCATCCAGCTTAGGAGGGAGGGGTTGAGGTAGATGGCGATGGGGTGAAAGGGGAAGATGACGTCGACGGTTTGGACGTTGCCGTCGGAGCTGATTTCTTTGAGGAAGACATAGGGGTCCTCGGGGGTGTTGGTGTATTCTAGGGCGCTGAAGGCTTGACGGACGGAGAGGGAGGTGATGCTGAGGTAGTCTTGGCCGCCGGCTGCGATTGAGTCGGTGGCGATTTGTTGGTCGAGTTGCGTTGCGATTTCGCCGCCCTTTGAGTAGTCATTGTAGAAGTACTCGACTGCAGCGAGATCACTGTCGAAATAGTTCGTCCACATGCATGGTACTGTCTCGTTGCCATTCGCGCCTTCGAATTGTACGCAGTAGTGTTGATGCAGGCTCAGCTGGAAAAGTGTGTTTTGAGCGGTTGTACCAACTTGGCCGAGATTGACGGCAAATCCAAACACTGGGTAGTCGTCGTTGATGGCGCGGTACTTGGTATCCTGGGTATCGGGCAGGTAGCCATTATTCAAGAAATTACCTCGGACAGTCGTGTCCTCGCCAGATTGATACGTCAAAGCGGCAATATTATCAGTAGCATAATACCAATACCCCCAATCTGCTTGCTGGTTGGTCTCGGAAAAGTTTAGCTGCTGTTGACGGTACACCTGGTGGTATGCAATGCCGCCAGTGCTGTTGGTACTGGATTGATAAGGAGTAGCAGTCGCCTCTGCAGGTGTCGTCTTGCTTGCATGGAAATCGCTTGGTTTGAACCCTGCAAGATACCCATTATCCGGCTCGTATGTGTGGGCGACACTGGTCCAACCTTCAATCGAAGTCTTGGTGCCGTAGACGGTGGCCGTTTTCGGAGTGGCTGAAGCTGTGGAGGTGGTACTCCAGCTGCTGGGTTCGTTGCTTTCATTGCTCTCCGCGATGGTGCCGTAGCTCCATTGTGCGTTGGCGCCGTGGTCTCCTGACACCCACTCGGCAGAGATATCGGTGTAAAGCTGCACATCGTGTTCTTGTCCGTCGATGGAGCTGACGGTCGTTTCAAGGTACGAGTATGGGAGAGATGATCTCAGCAAGTCATTCGGTCTGGGTTTCGTAAGCAAGTGATGCCGAAACCGCTTCTGGTATGCTTACGTGACAGTTGATAGAAAGGTAGCATTCAGCTCAACATAGCCGCCAACGTTGAACGTGAATATGCTCCTAGTAGAAGTATACTCGTAGGCCGTCTGATTGGCATATACTTTGTTCTGATCCGGATTTCCCATCCACGCATAGGTGACATTGTCCACACTGCGTCTCGTTACGATACTGAATGCTGCTTGTGGTTGAAGTGACATACCGAATAAACCCGGTCCACGCTGTTACCTGTCCTTGCCAAAACGTTGGCCATTCACCAGCCTGGTTCATTGTCAGCGCATAATGGTGGGAAGGACATCTGGTTGGTAGCATACCAAGTAGCCTCCATTGCCACCATCGCTGCCTGCCTGCAGATATGTACTGAGGTATGGGCTCTTGACGGCGATCGGTAGCGCTGGTGGTCGTAGTGGAGAGAATGTCGATTGTGCGATTGACAGGCCGGCAGCGGTCAACAAGAGAAGCGCATGGGAAGAATGCATTGCTATAGAGAGTGAATGAAAAGCTGCCACTGGGTGTTCCAAAGTATATATGGCTGAGCTATGAATTGGATGACCCGACGGAGGCCATGGTTTACAGCTGCAGGTGTCTCGTGCCCCGGATCTTAAAGCAGGAATGCCAGAGCTTAAGTGAGGTTGTCATGCATCGCCAGGTGTGGTTCTGTACCCGAGCTTGTGGTCGAACAACGCAAGTGTGCGTATTGGCTTGTGTCCCAAGCCATGCGGGCGGTCTGGTGCTGCGGCAGTCATGCGAGCAGTGACGTTTCCGCTTCCAGTTGTTTGAGGTGAAGATCTAAAGTGCAAGCTTCCAAGGTTGAAGCTTGCTCGATTTGGTTGCGGGTATGCAAGGCACAGACATGGCATTCGTCGCATGTCGCGAGCTTTCCGTCTACTGCCGATTCAGGACCATATTATTAGATTGGCCCAGATGAGCTGAATGACTGGATCGGGAAGGTGATGTTGTGCATGGCCGCGGCTGGGCTGTGCATGGCAACGACCCGGCTTCGTGGCGCCCGGCTTGCATTGCATTATTGTTCCGCAAAGAATAACAATAGTGATAGGAGGTAAGACGGTCAGAGCTCAGAGAAGGAGGTGAGCATTATTAATAATTGGCTCTACTGGTGCTTACCACCTGACGTTGGAGATGCGGTCGCGGGGTCGATCCTTCGGGGCGTACAGAGTAGTATAGTAGTATTAGTAGGAGCATGTCCCGCTAAGTTCTACGGCACACCACTGCATGACGCGCCGCCACGACCTTTGTGTTCCTCGGCAACGTGGTCGTGGTTGTCACGCACAATGTGCTGGCTGATCGCTGATACACTTGGGCTGTGAACCTCGGATCCATGTCTTACTCTAGTTCCACGCTACGGTGAAACCTTCTTCCCAAAAGAGCAGCCCAGCACAGGTACATAAGGTGTTCGAGCGATTCGACCGTCGTGTCACCGCAGATTGACGCATACATCGAATCAAGCAACAAAGGTACAGCTGTCAACAGTATCATCAAGCAGTCGTCCGTGTCATCGAGTAGTCAATCCTGTCATCATCCAACCGGTTGATAGACTGATGGAATCACTGCCGAATGGGTCAGAATGGCTATACGCTGCCCTGTCATTTCGTATGACGCTACTATAGGGTATATATAATTGCCACTGTCGGCGCAGCTCCACTCTTGATTCCCCATATACTACAATGCCGCCATCCAACGCCGTGCTAAATGTTATTGACCAGTCCGAATACAAAAGAAAATGTCTATCCACTGCCACCTGGGCCTGAAGTCGGAGGTGGGCCTGGACCAGCGGCATCACTTTCCGATATGAGCGTGGGCGCTATTCTCCGCTTCTTATCTTGTCCCTCGTCCGTGGACGCCTCCGAGGCCTCGCTCGGTCGCTTGATACCAGCTGCTATATTTGTTGCACTGACAGTAGAACTGCTCACAGAGTGTCCTGGTGTCTGCGGCGGCGTAAACAGTGGTACACTCGAGCCTGCCGCTGCGACTGAAGGCAGGGAACTCATGCTCGGCGTTGGGTAGTTCATCACTGGAGGTGCATTGTGGTCCGGCACGCGTGCAAAGCTAGCTTCGGTCGCTATGCTCGACGCCGACATACTCCTTGCTGGAGAGGCTGGTCGGACTGCAGAGGTGAAAGGTGAGGGAGACGGATTGGCGATTGCTGTAGTGGCATGTGATGATGACTGTCGTTGCATCGGTGCTGGAACAGCTGCCGTAACGGGCGCAATGCTAGTGGTAGGTGTCGCTTGAGGCGTTGATGATGCCGAATTGTTGGCCCTGCCAATAGAGATTGGCGTTGGCGTGTGTCTAGCGACCGACGGCGTCGGCTGGGTGTACACAGTTCCAAGTTCACCAGGCGCAAATGTCAAGGCGGAACAGAATCCATCCGAGGAGGTCATGAGCAGCGTTTGACCGTCACTTGACCAGGTGAGATCAGTAAACGTAGCATAGTGCAAATTGCTGACTACACATAATGGCTGGTGTTGCTGCGTGTCATAAACATGGACGGCGTCTTGAGTTGCCACGGCATAAATGATTCGGTACGGCAGACCGAAGGCAGGAGTCGGGCCAGCGGCCGGAGGTGCGGATGTCGACGCGGTGTCTTTATCCACAGAGGCTCGCGGCGACGTCATTGCTGCGATACTTGGCGATGGCGA